ATGACATAAGAGACAGCTCCATGTGCCAGGAGTACAGCACCAGCCAGGCCAGATTAAGGTCCTGAAGCCATAGACTTTATGCAGTCCAACCAGCAAGGGTGTAGGTGTGGGTATAACCGTTTATACTCAGGTATGGACAAGGACTGGGTATTAGAGCATGTTTTCGAAATTTGACACACCAAACAGGGCCAACAAGCTGTGTTTACTTTAAAAGCTGAAACAAGTATTGAACATCTATTTATCTGTATCAACATCAGGTAACCGCCAAAGCAGCAACAGGATGAGGTTTGTGATGTTTCCTCCTGGACAGGCCTGTCACAATCATTGAATTATTGTCTGAAGCAATTATTTAATCTGATCTCAATTATTTTCCCTAGTTATGAGCTCATATCGCAACAGAACATGAATGTGGGTGCGTTTTCATCCATTGGGTTGAGGCAAATGTATATAAATAAACAAAAATATAAACACGTTTGAGACATCATGTTTCTTATGAAAACAAAGGTTCTCATTTCTGTCCTGTGTTATATCAACCTTAGAAGGTAGCTACAAGTGTTTATTTGAGCTGTGTTTGTCTATAGTTGGGAGCTAGTAAATACTGACGGCTAGAAAGCTAGACAATTTGGCCTGTACCTCAAGAATTTCATACAATAAAAAAAAGTTAAATTAATAATCACAATAATTTATATGGCAAGTAATCACTGGCTACACTGTCGAGATTGTGACAGGCCTATCCTGGATGAGCAGCCAGGTAGTGCTTGTTCGGAAAGACAGCTTGATTAGAACACGTTTAACTTTGCAGCGCTCACAGACCAGACAGGACTCTGCGACACTACGATGTTACATAACAACCAGAGACAAGGGCCTAATCCCTGCGGCCCTGCTGCCAGTCGCACATGCACCATGTGCAGTTTTCACCTGGGAAGCTTCACAATAAATGTGATGGTTCGGCATAAAATCACAATTTCCCTGCTTACTCCAAATGTAGCCAAGCAGCCAAGATGTGTTCAGCGTCCAAAGCTTGCCTCTTTACTTTTGCACTGACGCTACGAGGCTAATGGAGGTAACAAGTAATGGAAACTGAAAAGCCACCAAGCATCAAACAAACCACCTGCCTAAATAATTACACGCTTGTCTTAAACCATGTCATACCAGGTAATATTATAATTTAGCTTAGTTTCTGACACTTTATGATGCACTAATCTATAAAAATGAACAAAAGTACGGATTCAAAATTCAGAAAATGGCTGCTATGGTATTTTTGTTCATTTTCATAAGCAACATTATATGCATGCAGTCATATAGTGTTAGGAACCGCATGAGTAAATCTATTTGAGATTTCTTTTTAGTCTGTAGAAGTATAAGTGGCACATGTGGTGATACAGGCATGAGTTCTGCTAATGGGTAGGTATAACCGAGTATAACTTGTTAGTAGAGATGATGTTCACAGTGATGAAGTCATATTGTTATTGGCAGAATACAGGAATCGGACAGATATTTGGATTTTATTGATATTTTGAATCAATTATGTTTTTATTGCACTTTGTCAAAACCCTAATTTCTACATTTTATGACCTACTAACTTCCTGAAAAATTTTAGCTCACAATTCCCTTAACAGTGCATCTCTACTTGTTAGTAATAGCAGCCTCTTAGCTTTGGGGTAAGGAGAAAATTAGCTATGTTAAATTAAGTGTAAATTTAATATTTTGCAAAATCGTTTTTTTTTAAACCACAGGTGATAACCCCTGGCCTGAACATTAAGTGTTTCCTGCTCTAAAACTCCTACTTCAGCTCAGGAAGAGCTTGCTTATTAAACTATTAGTTGGATCGGGTGTGTTGGGTGCAAGGAAAACAAACCTGCACGGGGCAGGAGATATTCCAGGACCAGGACTGGGGACTACTGGTTTAAAAAGAGATGTTCAAATCCATTCTGTAGATGGACAGTAAAAAGGCCTGCCACATATATTGCCCTGTCAATCTAGCAAGACGGAAGCACTAAGCTTCTGGGAACTGAGCGCAAAGCTGAATCACCCTGAACCATAAACTGAATCACTGATTTCACAGTGCTCTCTCACTATATTTCACGTTTGAGTCGCACTATGCCAGACTCAAGTGAAGTGGAGAAGCTGCTCTGCTCTGAGAATGCTGTGTTTGTAAATAGAGAGCTGGGCTGCGACTGGCTGCAGCACTTTAAGTGTAACTCTGTAATTGTGCTGGCATGCTCACAGCACTGCAGAATGGTCTAATCGCCATGGCATCCTGCCGCTGCTGCCAATCAGAGCCAAGCAAAAGGGGGGGCACCAACTTCCTTCCGAGTCCATTCATACCACAAAAGCCACCTGCTGTGCCTGTCAAAGACTGGAACGAGGGAGTGAGGGAGAAGACGGAACGCGAAAAAGGAAAAAATGAAGCAGAAAATGAGGGAAAGAGAATTGGTGACCTCTTTCTATTGCCATGCATAATGCAGGACTTTAAAGTAGAAAGGTTCGCTACAGAAGCACATGGAATTCTGTTGCGCTTAGACAATTTAATCATTCCTAAAAGTTCTGAGTATCATTCACACAGACCCACTAACATCCTGATTCCCTATTCCCTTAACACAAATTGAGTCTGCCACAACTAGCCTAAATTACTGTCCAGCACAATGGTGTTTGGTTCTAGACCTCGAGGGCCAGAGTCCAGCAGAGTTTAGTGATTTTCCTGCTTAAACACACCCGAAGTCAGCAGGTTAGTCACCAGGTGTAGTAGCTGTGTCATAGCAGGAAAAAGACCAAACTGTGTAGGGCACGGGTCCTAGATAACCAGAACTGGTCTAGTCTGTTCTGAACAGTCTCACTTCTAGAGATTCTGCCGTTCCAAATCAACTCTTGAAGCACAAACCAATGAGCCAATTCACAGAATCAGAGAATCAGGAACACAAAAGAAGGAAAAGCTAAAACAAAAATGCTGTTGCCCTCCAGGACTGGGAGTGAAGGGTAGAATGGCTGAATCTCAAAACCCTAACTGAAGTCCCCTTGATTCCCTTCTCCTCCATCCTTCAGCCCATGACCCAGAAATTGATCAAAATCCGCCATCTTTAAGGACGTATCAATTCTTTACATGCACTCGGCGGAACAGAGGTGACGTCCACAGTGAGGATACACATGTGCATTCTACACAAACAGATTTTATGTTGTAGCATGTGATGTCAGTGGCACAATATTGTCCACCTCCCCCTTTGTTTTTATTGGATGAATTTCGTTAATAAGGGGACACTGAGAAAGGTTAGCGAAAGTTAATTAAATCATTGATGTATTTGAATTTCAATAAAGCATGATGTGAAGCCAGTTAATAGAACTGTTTATTACGGGCAGGTCAGATAATGAAAGCAACAACTGAGTGAATGACGTCCTCGGTCATCACACCTCTTTTCTGTGTCCTCAGATGGAGGCGCAAAGATGTGAGGAAAGGTTGCAAGTAAAGAGGAAGTGAGTATGAACAATTACAGGCATGAGATTCACTCAATGTCTACGATGGCATTTCTGAGCAACACTTTTCCATGGAGCACATTTGGGTTCCCCCAATGGTGAGGCAGATTATAAGCGATTTTAACCCATTAATGGCCCCAGCCCACAAGAAGTGGAGCTCACAGGTAAACCTCATGGACCATAGCTCTTCTCAGGCAGGCTCGAAAATGAGCAAAATTAGAGAGAATTGAACGCAGGATCCAAGGAGGCTCCAAGCCGAGCCTCTGGAAGACCTTTGTGTTTATTCTTTGCCTGCCTTCGTTTATACTATTCTTCTGTTCACGGCTCATTAGATTTAAAGTTAGGTTGTCGGATCTGTTTACCAAAGAGCTCTTCTACTTGAGCTTTGCTTGTCCCAGATCAGACTACCCCTCTGCTCTACAGGACCATGTCACTGGCATCCTCAACAACTAAGAATAGCTACTCCTCCAACGCTGATTTGGATAAACTGAAAATTTGGGGGTGGGGTGCCATCACAGGTTGTCTTTGTTGTCAAACTGTGAAAAGACCTCAAGAAAGGAAGACCATTCAGAGGCCAGAAACAGTGAATGGTGAACATTTCAATGAGTGGAAACTGATCTCCACACTGGAACTGGCACAGTTCACTCTGCTGAGGGAGGGAGGACGGACACAGCACTCAATGAGGGTGAGGTTGTGCTCACAGGATTATGGCAGGGGGGATTACGCTGGCTCTTGTGCACCCTTGGACACACAAACAGCATTGTTTTGAGAGAAAAAAAAATGATGAAATGATGTACATCACAGTACAAGCAGTGCTGTCACTAAGTTTGTAGAGACTTCAGAGGTCCAAAAATGTTTGGCCTTCTGGATGACAAAGACAAAAATGGAGCTGGGAGAGAACATAAGCGTTTACAGAATGAATAAAAAGGCTACAATGTCTGAAATTCCTGAATTTAACAAAACTCAATCAGTGCAAAGCATTCCCCAGTCCAAACAGGACTGCCATGAGCCTACATGCAAAAACTAGTCTTCTTCCTTGTCCTGTGGTAGCAGCAGCAAAATAAAGGGCTAAGTAACCTAGGAAGTCTGGGAACAACTGACCAAGGCCTCAGGTCGATACTTCTCACACAAAGCTGAGGGAAACGTGAATAGGAAAGGTTATTAGAGGACCTCAGTAAACTCACCAGGGCTTGGCCGTTTGCCTTTGCATGGAAATCACGAATTCAGGCTTGAAACTTGGAAGAGCCACGTTTCAGTTCGTCGCCGAGTTACACACAACCGACGCCGACAGCAAAAGCGCTGCTCGGACTGTTTTCCAGTTTGTTAGTTTTAACGCAATAAAACAGCTCAATACGGCGACTCCCTCGAAAATAACATGGCGAATTAACCTCTGTTACGGCGTTTTCGCGTCCAACCATTTTAGATAAAGCTCCCAACAACGCGTAGCGAGGCCAGGCAGGCCACTCCACTCACTCACTCACTCACTCCACAGCCGCCACACTTCGGCCAACATGGAGATCCCGCTTTCTTACCTTCACGCGTTTAAGGTCTTCCTTTCCCGCGGTTACATACGACCACCACAACTTCAGCTAACAGTAACAGAAGTGCAGGACAGACTCAGAAGTCGTTTGGCAGCTACAAAGTGGAAATCCCAGCCTGTCCCATTCCCTTTTTTCCACGCTTCCCACGAACAGCCCGGACAGAAAGAGGAGAGAGAGGAACTGATTGTTGTGTTCAGTTTTTGAGGAGAAGAAAATCCGAGAGCGGTTTATCAAATCCAGTCACGTCACTCGATATTTGTTACACAGTCCAAAGCCAGAGGAGAGAGGGAGTAATGGAGACCGAGCACTGAAAAACAAAACCCTTTTAAACCGGAACCGGTATGGCTGGGCTACATGACAAAAGGCAGCCTGAGGAGAAGAGAGGAGTCCCTGCAGTTGGAGCTCATGCCTCCTCCTCCTCCTCCTCCTCCTCCTTCCCCGCCTCCTCCCCCCTTTTCTCTCTCTCTCTCTCCCTCACTTGGTTTAACTTGCATCCCACAACATGGCCGCCATGCGCTGTCTCTCCTGCTCGGAGGCGGGAATGTCAACACGAGGAGTCCGAAGGGAGAAGAAACAGGATGTTTGTGTGGGATTTGCGAAAGCATGGATATCGCAGTTTTTGAGCTCGAATGAAATCGACACATTTCTAAAGAGGGGCTTTTTAACGTGGCTGAGATTTAAACAGGCCTTTGGCGCCCTCTTTCGGTTACATGTGTGCAGCTCGGTTGTGCTGAAACTGATTGATAGGCCTTAATCCCAAAACTGCAGCCAGACCACAGGAGAGAGCTTTTCCACTTTACTGGCTGTTTCCGGGGAGGTGTATGTTGTGTTTTGGATGATGGTATGCTGGTCAGCAGCAATGGAAGTTAATATGCTGATCATCACCAAAACTAGCATATGTAGTGTTTTGTGCTGGTATGCTGGTCAACCAGCATGACCATGCTGGGGTGACCAGCTAAACCAGAACCAGACCAGCAATAGACCAGCATGAAATGCTTACTGGTCTGTGCTGTTTTTTCAGTAGGGAATATACATAAATAGATAGCAGGGGTGTACTGATATACTTGGCCCACTACTTGATTCGATTCTCAATAATGGCTTCAAGATTGTGCATTCTCACAATATTTTGGACAACCTCAAAAAGAAGAAAAATGCTGACTGTAGCCATGTTGCTTAGCTTACTCTACTAGTGTATATACTGGTGTGGCATGTTGATTGAGGCTGGTTGTTTGCAAACATTGGTGCTCAGACACTTAAGTTGTATTAGATGAAATAATTCATAGAATGTCCATTCTATTAGGTGTCAACCCATATGATTAAAATGTTTTGTTTTTTATTTTTTGGAGGTATGTGTGGTTGTACAAGACTGGGATATGTAAGTCTAATTCAGGTTCCTTATAGATTTCGGCCATTAACATCAAGATTCCTGTTTCATTAGATGTGTTAGCCTGAAAAAAAATAATCTGATCAGACTGCGGGTGGTGGGGTGGGAACATAGCTATACTGCTGTATGTGAAATTTTGTCATCACTTTTATCACCACACACAAAAAAAAGAATGTTAAAGTAGCTGCATTTGGAGACAAATATGCATTCGAGCACACAGCACCATTGATGCGCCATAGCAAAGACACATTTGCTCCTCAGGCTTACCTTTTGCCATTTGATTGTGTTTGTATGTCCATTTGACTATGTGAGAGTGACTGTTTAGCTGCTAAATACAGTACAAAATATGGATTCTTTATGATGTAATTTGTATGATTACTAAAAAATATATCACAGTAAAGAAAATCAAAACGGGACAAATCGCTGTTGAGCTAATGCTTTTAATGGTAGAAATGTGCTAGACAGGTTTCAATTAATTTATACAGATTGGAGGCTTTGAATATAAGGTTTCTTTGTCGACACCTATGCATCTCCACAATGTACATTGTCGCATTTTTCAACTGAGATATCTCAATGTCATGATGCATTGTTACACCACTACTAGACAGATGGCTGGATGGACTTTATTCTTCCCCAAGGGGAAATTTGGATACTGCAGCAAAAGAGCAAATACACAAATTAGACATGCACAGTGAGAAGACATCAGTGCATAAACGAGAAGTGCAGAATCCAGCATCAGCTGAGACATTCACATTGAGTGCTGGGTGGAGAATATGGGGCACTGGATTAGTGCGTAGTGTGTGCAGAATTCCAGTGGTGTGTGCTGTATGGTTAGAGTTACTTGGAAAGATTCTTGTTCGTTCTGTCTTTCTGGACTGTTCTTCTAAAATGTCAAGCCCTCTCTGACACTTTTCTCATCTTGGAAGAAGAAGGAACAGTTTATGAGAGAAATCATTTCCAGCATGCTGGAAGCAAAAACTCTGAGGATGTATAGCAGTTTAAAATGTGCATTATTGTCTTTTAATTGGTGGCATAACCTCTGGAGGGAAAGTAGGCAATCTCACAGGACCCATGGAGTGGGGGGCCTACAGTGACCTCCAGATCCTCTCAAATCATTTTTGGGTCCCTCTTATAGATTTATACAACATACCTCACTAGTTAGACAGAACTGATGTTTGTTCATCTCTCTTATTCATATTGCCTCTCATCTGTGATTACCACTTTCAAACAGATCCTTCAACCTGCAACACCATTTGTTCACTATTTATCATTCTAAATCTTAAATCTAGATCAAATAGATCAAAACGGCCACATTTAAATAATATATCAAAATATGTATTTAATCAAAATATGTATGTTACATAGGGTTCTCAGGAGTCTATGTACCCTTATTATTTGGCCATGGTAATATCAAACAGCTAAATAGGACAGATAATTATTGCGATCCGAATAAGTACTCTAATGTTAAGATGATAATGGTTGGAGTGACATGCCTTTAAAGCAGTTTTGAAAATCTACTTTCCTGCAGTTTTAGTTTCAACCTGCACCTAATCATGTTGTGATTTAGCTGAAGCAGATGTAGATTGTAGTAGATTGTAGTTGGAACAAGACTCCACAGGAAGGATCTCCAGGACCAGGGTTGGTGACCACCATCTTGTCTGGGGTGGTACAATAGTGAGTAAACAAGCAAATTACATTATTCCATTCTTTGAAAGTAATATTTGGAATGTTTGTGTGTGTGGGGGGTACATTTTTTGGGAGGGGGGGGGGCATAAGAAAGTAGGAGTGCTGACCAACTGCGGCGTAACTAGGCTCATATGAGCATACGAAAGTATACTTTTATAAAATATGGTTCTTCATGGGTTCTTTAGTAAAGACAATGGTTCTATATAAAACCATGAACACTCCAAGAGCCACTTGCCTGCTTAAAAGAGTTCATCTATTGTTATAAGCTTGACATCATAACAATAGAAGAATCCATTTTGGTGCTATATAGAACCATTTTCAAAAAGGTTCTATACAGAACCACATACAACACATTCTCCATCAATCTGAAGGAGAAAAAGAACCATGCAGAGAACCATTTAAGTATGCAAATGGTTCCTTGACTGTTCATGGTTCTATATAGAACCATTGTCTTTATTAAAAAAATCTCTGAAGAACTATCTTTTTTTAAGAGCACTAGTACTGCTGCCCATAACAGCCTAGTTACGCCACAACATGTAAAACAAAAACTGTCTCACTTCTACTCACACATTGAGCCATAAAGTAGATTGCCAAGACTTTTGGAATCAAAACTTTCAGAGACTGTGTAAATGAAACACATATTTCAAGCCAAGAACCAGTTGGAGTTTTGTGATATTACGTACACTAGTATCACACAATAGTAATATCACTCTCAGTCCCTTCTGTTTGTATTTTTGCCAGTTTTCCTTCAAGTGGCCACTGTTGTTCAGTTCAGTCTTTTGCAGGTCAGTTTCACCAATCTGAGAGCTGACGGCTGCCCGAACCAGAAACCTTCCAGTGTTCCAGCTACTGGCAACAGCACTGTCAAGCATGTCAGCTCTGCTTGCTAGACTTACGAGACGTAACAACGAAAGCAGTCACTTAGCTGCTGTGTCACTCAGTGATGAGAGAGGTTGCAGCCACACAGACTGTGAATAGGCTAGGGACCATGCCATCCTGCCTTTCTAATGAGAACAAAACCAATGAACCCTTTTCATGTTTATAAATAAAACCCTCGCACTCACCCAGTTGTGCCACCTCTAACAAACTCAGACAGGCATTCAGCGAGTTGGCAGATACCTAGAGAAAGACATGGCCAGCTGGGATTATTAGAAAAGCCTAAGAGAGAGCATGGAGATGGACAGAGCTGTGAACTGCATCTCGATACAGGATCTGTGAAGAATTTCTCTGATTTGTTTCTTATTAATAATGAACACAAAGGAAGGAATTAGCATGGTCGTACAGCAGGGCACTGAAGTTGTCATAATAGTACATGATGGTGCTCTAATGCAGTTTTGAAGGCATTTTAACAGTTCAGTGGATATCAGGGTGCATATTAGAGTATTGCTCAAAGTGTTGCAGATGTGAAAATGGTCAGTTTCATCCTTGGAGCTCTGAGCAAAGCACGCAGCAGGAGTTAGATTGTGAGTCGTTAAGTTTGAGGGCCATAAGGCACCGTAAACTTGCAGTGCTTGTATCCTAGAGTGTATTATGTTGTTATATGGGTTACAGAGGGAAATGCAAATTACTAGCCTGTTGGGAAAAAGAAAAAAAAAGGTTTTTTTAATATGCAGCTGACAATGAATATTAAAGGGAAATTCTACCTGTTTTTCAAAAATTCTGCATAATTCTGAGAAATGGTTAATTGTAGAGAAACTTACAGACAAATTTCTTTACAGTGGTGGTGATAGGAACCAGGGGTCACACAATGCAAAAATAGCCATTTTATTTACATTTAATCCACTTTATGAAAGAGTTGCAGTGTCGATGCTTTGTTTTCATGTCAGAAACTGTAAGCACAATGCTGAGGATGCTGACGGCTGATTTATGACTGTCTGTTAAAGGAAGAATTTGATGTAAAAATTCAATTCAGTTCAAATTTACACAGTGCCTTTTACAGCTTTATAGAAATCTGGTTCTGAGCCCCAAGCCAAGCACGACAGTGGCAAGAAAAACCCCTTAAGAGCAGTAAGAAGAAACCTTGAGAGGAACAAAGACTTTAAAAAGGAACCCATCCTCCTCTGGTTGACACCAGACAGCAACACAACAAGAGCAATATGAATAAAGAATGAAGAATTGGCGGTGAATATACCATAGAGAATACTGAATAAAAAAAAAATGAGCCTGTTATTAGACAGAGATGTTCAGATTAACCAATGAAAACCAATGACTGCTGTTAGAAGCTTGTCTGAGTGACAGAGAGAAATATCCATGAAAACCATGTAGCTTTTAACAGAGCTTTAATGTAATACAATGGTTTGGATGTCTGGTTCCCATGTGTTCCCACGTGAATGGATCACTTCATATCAAACCACTCTTAATTACTTTGTATACATGTGGACAATTTACTTGTGAAAATGTAAAAAACTGTATGGGATTCCCTTTTAAAAGGACTCCAATACTATTGGTGTCATCTGA